AAAAAAAAAAAAAAAAAAAAAAAAGCCTGTTTAGTCAATTGTAGCCATATCACTTTGAAAGGGCTTTTTTTCCCCCTTAGTTCCAGAGATTGAACTCAGGACCTTGTGCTCACAAGGCAGGTGTGTTGCCACAGAGCTAAATCCCTTGCTGGAAAGGGCTTTTGAATAACCTTGATATACAAATTTAAATACTTTCAAAGATTTTAAATTGCATTTATGAAAATGAAAGATTTCTTTTTTATTGGTGCATATCAGTGATATAGAATAATGAGCTCTTAGGAAAGTGGCACATGCGTATAACATATTTTGATTGCTTTTTTAACCTCATTGTCCCTCCCCCTTTCCTCCCCTCTCACCACAACTCCTTCCCCATCTATAAGACTACTTTATAGCTTTCTGTCCAGACTTCTTCTTCTTTTTTTTGGTACCGGGGATAGAACTTGGGACCTTGAGCTTGTGAGGCAGGTGGAGGAACCACTGAGCTAAATCCCCTGCCCCCAGACTTCCTTTCTAAACATGCTAATAGTCCAACTAACCCTTTGCTATCCAATATACTTCAAGTGCTTGTCCAGTGCAAATCCTTGGAACCCACCCTGACCCACCTGACTTTATATTTTTGCCAGTTTCCCAGTGATCAGTGTGATTGAAGATACAGTAAACTCACTGGCAAGTACAGTTTTCCCAAGTAATTTATTATCTTTTATATGTGCTATATGTGAAATGTGTGTGTCTTAAATGTTCCAACAGTCTGCATAAATTTAATGCATTGGATCTTATCATCACATGTTTAAGTCATTTACTCATTCATTTTAAATCAGAAGATTGTTTTCTTAATCTAATGGGACATATTCTCTAAGGTGTTACAAGTACACAAAATACTAAATATGCATAAATTCTGTATTCTCGTAATATTAAATACTATAATTTTGAATTATCTCAAAGTTTTTATTGCTCAATTTTAATTATCTCTGGGTCTTGAGAGAGGTTTATCTATTTTTCAACCTTCATAATTTTAGCTCACTGGCTAATTCTGTCAAATATTTAAAAAACTATTCCCAATCCTATACCAGCTCTTTCAGAAAATAGAGCGAGGAACATTTTCCAACTCATTTTATGAAGCTACTATGACTAATAAAGATGCCAGAATAAAACCACAGACACACACATCCTTCATGAAATTAGACACAGAAATTCTCAAAACATTAACAAAATGAATCTACGAAAAGATAAAAGGATTGTGCACTATGACCAAGTGAGTTTTGACCCAAATCATCACACCTAGATAATCAGTTTATAAGAGGAAAGGTCATTTGGGCTTACAAATTCAGAGGTTTCAGTCCATGGTTACTCAGCCCCATTGTGTTGGGCCCATGGTGAGGCCGAACATCATGGCTGGGAGCAACTGGTGGATGGACACACCTCACAGTGGCTGGGAAACAGGAAGAAGAGGAGAGGATGGAGTCCAATAGTCCCTCAAGGGCGCATCCTCAGTGACCTAATGTCCTTGTACTAGGCCCTATCCCTAAAGCTTGCATCATTTCCCATTAGTGTCAAACTTTCAACATATGGACCTGGGGGGGGCATTTAAAGGCCAATCATAGCAAAGTCTGAGTTGGTGTGGAAGAATCATACCGACTTGGACTCTCCTAAACTGGTGTGGACTCCTACTGACTAAGAAATGATTTTATATCTGAGGAGGCAGCTATGATGGGGCTTTCTAGAAGGAGAGGGAACGTGTGCAGTGAACTGTCTTTTCCAATAATGGGGCAGGGGTGAGAAACCAGTAGATATCCTATTCCATGGTGTAAGGGCAAAGGCAGTCTTAAGGAGGTTGTTCCTTAAGACAACGTGTGTGACAATGACTGTAAAGACCTCATCCACCTCTGCTCTAAGTGAATGCTTAGCAAGGTTAATTTTTCTTTCTTTTCCAGAGAATGATTTTTAAATATCCTACCATATAGTAATTATATTTCTATTCTTTGTCTTTAAGGAACTCAAGATCACTACTCTGCCAACAAGGGTCATGTAGAGCCAGCTTCCACAGATTCGATGAGAGTCATGTATTTCATTGGCTGAGCTTAATTGTGGTTACTTTCATCCTGTTGGATAACTTCACTTCCTGGCAAGAAACATGAACTTCCTGTCGGCAAAGATGGGAAGAGCACATGGCATGAGCTAAGACTGTCATCTGCAGACATTTGTTTTAGAATGAGAATAGTGCTCTCTCTCTTTACAGTCAGCTGCAGAAGCTCGTTGAAAGCTGCAGAGGCTGCAGAGAACTGAAAGGAAAGGAAAGGAATTTCTGTCTGTGCAGTTAGCAACATGAGACTATAAAGTATTTTGTACATAAGGTAACCTGTGACTCCAAACAGCTACCATAGCTACCAATGAGGATGACTCTGAAATATACACTGTACACACACACACACACACGATTTAATTTTCACAAACACCTGGAGAGGTTAGCTTTAAATTCTTCCTTTAACCTCCAACAAAACCAAGTCAGAGATATTAAGTGAATCTCCCAAGGTCACCGAGCTAGAAAGTGGCCAAATCAGATTTAAACCTAGGCAGGACTTTGTCTCTGAGAACAAAAGCAGTGAAACGTTGTAGTACAAAGTTTTAAGGGTTATGAGATTCTATTGATATTTAATTTTCCGGGACTCGGGCAAGTTATTTCATCTTCATAAGCCTCATTTTCTTCATCTGCAAAAAGGTTCCTTTTTTCACTGGGTCGTTCTGAGTGACCGAGATGGTGCGGATTGCGTGTACAGTATATGCTCAGCAAGGTCAAGTGGATTAAAAATAAACTCCCATCACTGGTGACCCTCACAGAGCCCTGCGTCTCTCCAATCCCAGGGTCTCAGCTGATTACAGGTGATTTCCTAAAAACAAAGACCTGCAATCTAAAGGGTATCTAAATTGCCTAACTGGTACTGTTAAACGGACACCTGCCCACTGTCTCTCTCGCATTCTTTCAATGCAAGGCCTCAGGCAGGCAAGGCGGGCGCCCTACCACCGGGCTGCACCCCAGCCTCTTTCTCACCGGTCTGTGCCAGCTCCCACGGGTTTCTCTGGCACGCAGCACTGGACGCAGCGCCAGGTGAGCACCAGGGCTTGAAACTGGAGAAAAAAAAAGGGGCCAAACCTCTCAAGGAGTGGACCTCGGACAAAAGACGGTCACATGCAGGTCCCCTCCCTACTGGGCACCTGGGTAACAGGGCGTTGGTCATCGCAGGGAGGAGCAGCACTATGCAGAGAGGGGGAAGGGCGAGCTGGCCGCAGTCCCGCCCCCAGCGCGCCTCCACCCAC